ACCTGGAAAACACCTGCATGGTGCCTGCACCGAGTCATAATTACCCTAACATGGGACCAAAAGGAATTGGAAATTACCGACTGCATAGCCACATAGTAACTATTTTTCTTCCTTTGGTAGTTACCTTAACATCCTTTTTATTATTATTTGTTTTTATGGTACATGGGATTGAACCCAGGCCTTCACGCTGAGCTGCGTGCCCTCCCCCTCCTTTTTTGGACACAGGATCTCGCTATATTTCTAAGCTGCCCAGGCTGGGCTGGAATTTACAGTCCTTCTGCCTCCGTCTCCCAGAGTGCTGGGATTACAGGCACGCTCCACCATGCCCAGCCAACACTTGGATATTGAGTGAGCTCACTTGTCTAAGGGAATGACAGTGGACTGGTCCTCTTAGATTTACTGGTGAGAGTTAGTGCCATCAGGTAGAACGTGCCACCGTGTGGGGTCAACATGGGCCACCTGGGTTCTGCCAGATACAGCAGTCCCTTACTGTGTAGCTCCTGAATAAGGTATAGGACAGTCACTGTGCAGGTCACGGGGAAGCCTGGGAGTAGTGGCCCTGAGGACAAGGCTCCGGCAAAATGGGTCCAGGCAAGGGCAGAGACACAGGGGTGAGATCGGTGGCAGTTGTCGTGGACATGGAGAATAGCCTCCAGACAGGCTTTCTGAACAGGATGAGGGTGGGGCAGATGGGCCAGAGGCCCTTGCAGCAACCAACTTCCTGAGCGAGGAGAGTAACTTGCTAGTAACAGCCATGGTAACGAGCGTGTTTCCTGATAGGTGAAGGGAATGGAAAGACCAGTGGCAAAGTAATGTAGAGGGGTCCTCTCAGCTACCTGGGTGGCACCTCTGGCACAGGCATCAGCAACTCTGGAGGCTTCGTGGCTCCTGGCACTGGAGTCACCATGAGGAAAATACTCAAATGCCAAGGAGCAGGAGGCTAGCTTTTAACAGCTTCCTGTTCTTTTTACCCCTGGTATCCGGTTCTCTCAGACTTTATAAACTGGCTCATTGCCTTCGCCACACAGCATCCGCTCTGGAGAGGCGGCTGGTTGCCACTCTAGGAAGTACAGTCTTTGAGTGAAGCACTGCACACTAAGTGTGAACAATTTTGTTCGCAAGATAAATCTGCATTTTTTAAAGGAAGTGTATTAATCCAGCTGAGACCTTGATTGAATAGTGGCGTCTCCAAAACTGGCCAAGGAGAGTGATCTTCAGCAGGGACATTTTCCTCCCCTACAATGCAACCTCATGGCGGGGCCACAGGAAAAACACTTGCTCACTCCTCCTGACAAATCGGCCAATTACTTGCATCTTTAGCCCATCTGTGGATAAATAGCCTGGGGTCCTTTCTGAGACCCGCCACCTCCCATCACCTGACTCACACTCTCATCTATCCTACGAGGATATCATTTCTCTTTCCATTCTATTTGGGTTCATCCTCATCAACAAACAGTGTCAAAAATATTTTCTAAAGGCCCAAACCTGTCTTGACTCCACAATTTTGTGTAGCTGGCACAGCCTCATCTTCTCCCCTTTCCAGCAAAAGTCCATGCATCCCATTTGCTCTGGAGCCCATTCCAGTCAGACTTTGTCCTAACTGCACCACTGAATTTGCTCATGGCATGGGCAGCTCTGTGTGGCCACATCCAGTGGTCACCTGGATCTGTCCTCAGCTCCCTGGTTCAACAGATCAGCGGCAACGGAATAGTTGACCCTCTTCCCTTTCAGGAGACATGTTTCTTGCTAGGCCTCTGCCAAACGCTTTCTTTTGGTTCTCTTCCTGTCTCTCAGACTGGTTCTTCTTCTGCCTTGCTGACTCCACCTCATTGTCTCGACCAGCAAGCACTGGCATCCCAAGTTTCAGTCCCAGACTTCTCTGTTATGATCTCAGTGTCCTCTGGTCATAAATGATGGAGAGCTGATGGCTCCCCAAGATGTGTCTCCTCTCTGCCCTTCTCCACAAAGCTCCAGACCTACACAATGGCTTCTTCAGTTCTCCACTTACATGTCTAATAAGCAACCCAGACTTCACACATCCACAGACTCAGTTCCCCACTGATGCCTGCTCTTCCCTCAGCTTTAGTCATTTGGATTTCACTCTTCCCAACCTTTTAGGACAAACCCTTGTATTTATCCTTGAGGCCTCTTTTCCTCTATCATGCCCAGTTCCACTTGTTGTCCAATCCTATTGGCTCTTCTTCCTAAATACTTCTCATTTTGGATCATGTCTCACTACCTCTCCCATTATCACTCATATCCAAGCCACCATTAGCATGACCTGCACTGTTGAAATTGTCTCTTGCAGGCTTTCCTGCCTCCACACCCTCCACACTCTTCCCCAACCCCTCCTGGGTATTCCTCTCACATCAGCCGGAATGATCCTTCAAAACTGTGCATACGTATAGCTCTACTCAAGTCTCTCCAAGGGCTTCCAGCTGCATTCAGAGCAAAATACAAAGGTTTAAGCCCGGGCTGTGGCACTTGATGCTGTCTGAGGCACCCCTACTTCTCGGGCTCATCTCCTCTCAGTGTGCCAGCTTCCTTGCCATTCCCTGAACATGAACCAAAGTTATAAGGGGTGTTAAAAATACATGACGAATATTCAAATTTTTAAAAATTTATTACAGTAAAAGACACATTGCCATCAATCCCCTTCAAAATCCTCCCCCTCGCTTTGAACATGCTTATCCCATCATTCTTGTCAGTTTCTGAAGCAGTGGAGGTGCTCTTTCCTGAATGTCTTTACAAGATATTATCAAAAATATGATGGGTGCCACTGCCTAGTGCCATCCAACGTAGAGGCAGGCTCATTAAAACATTACAGTCTCCCCATTCACCTTATTCACCAGACCTGGCACTGTACAACTTCTGGCTCTTCCCTAAAGTCAAGATAATTATGAACGGTGAGCATTTTGAATCCATTCAGGATAGCGAGGCAACTAAAGATACTCAGGAAAGGTGTCTTCCAGCACTGCTTCAGAAAGTGGCAAGAGCCCTGGGACAAGTGTGTTCAAAGTGAGCCGGGTGTTTTGAGGAGGATTCATGGTGTTGTGCCCTTTACTGTAGCACGTTTTTAAAATTTAGACATTCACTGTGTATTTCAGTCACGTTGCATACCCCCGCCTGCTGCCTGGGCCTAGAGGAAAGTCTCACCACAGTGTCCACCCACAGGACCCTGTGCCAACCATCATCAACCACCCGACTCAGAGGCTTGACTCTGTCTTTGTTTTACTCATAAATCTTCCCCCAGGAGAGGGGGCTGTGCAGGGACAGTTGAGCTCTGCACCCCTTGGTGTCAGCTGGGCGGCTGGGCGGCTGGGCTTGTTGCTCACTCCTTCCTCTGGGAGTTGAAGTTGGTGCCCGAGAGCCAAAGTGGGAGTCCCAGACACCTGGATCGGCCTTGTGATCTGTGGCTGCTGTGACCATCCCCAGAGGACCAGGACAAACACATGGCCTCTCCTGTGTTAGCCTCAGAGCACCTAGTGTCACCTGCCTCACAGCCACCCAGGTCGAAAGGACCCCACTTCCTGGTGGAGGCACGTCCCCATCCCAGGGTAAGGAGAGTAGATGTGACAGGAGAGAGGGGCAGCCGCATTCTTCTCTCACCCCTTTCTGATAAACTTACATTAAATGAACTCCCCAGGCAATGCCCAGTACCTCATACCTTGAAGAAATTTCACTCACAAATCTGTGCCACTGTAAGAATTCCACGAATATTTGTGATAGTTAAGCTTGTATATCTGATTTATTTCACTTTATGGTCTCAAGGTGCACCCATTTTCCTATAAATGACTCAAATTTATCTTTCTTTGTAGCGGAGTAGTACTCCATTGTGTGTAAATACCAAGTCTTAGTTACTTTTCTCATTGCTGAGACAAAATACACAACAACCAAAGTTAAAAGAGGAAAGGTTTATTTTGGCTTACAGTTTGTGGAGGTTTCAGTCCATAAAACCCTCCAAGGCAGGGAGGCATGGCAGACAGACATTGCAGAAGAAAAACAATTCATGGTGGACAGAAGGTAGCAAAGCAACAAAGTAGAGAAGAAGCAAGTCCAAGCGACCTTAGCTTCTTCTTTCTGCCCCCTCTATATTCTATCTAGGCTACTTGGGCTTAGGGTGGTGCCAAACCAATCAGTGGACTGATTTAGTAATCACACACTGTTAATCCCAGCATCACACACAGTAGATTCAGCCACCTCTGAAAAAGCCCCACCTATGACCACATGGGGCTTTGAGGGGACATCTGGACACCAACCCTAAAATACCATATTCTCTTTATCCATTCACCTGTTGATGGCTACATGTGTGCTTCCAAAATTTAGCTGTTGTGAGTTGTGCCCCATAAATATGAGTATGCATGTATCACTGTAATATGCTGTCTTTAACTCTTTTGGGAAGATGCTTAGGAGAATAATAGCTAGGTTGAATGCAATTTCTAGTTTTAGTTTTTTGAGGAATCCCCACACCTATTTCCATCGTGGTTGTACTAGTTTACATTCCCACCAACAATGTAGAAGGGTTCTACCAATGATTAAGTCAATGAATAAATCATCACCACCACAAAAAAGATGGCAGATCTTATTTATTGAGAGTTTTCTATGTGCTGGGCACTAAGAAAAATATTGACATGTAATACCATTTTCCATTTCCCCAACATTGCTGGCAAGGGAGTACTAGGACTCCCATTTTACTGATGAGATATGGAGGCTTAGAAAACTTACGCAGCTGGTGAGCCGTGGGGCTGAGGTCCAAAGCCAGGGTTTAGCTCCAGAATGCATGTAACCCCTTTGTGATGCTGTGCGATGGAGATAAGGAGGCACCAGGCACGTGTGTGGTCCTCACCCTGGTCCAGTCTTGGAGGAGAAGAACCAACCAGCAGGCCATGGTCATGACCACGCTCACAGCAGACACAGCTGTGGCTCATGGAGGCCAGTGGGCAGTGAGTGGGTGTGCTCATGTCATTTGCTTTTCCCTCACCCTTCCTGTTTCTTTCCAGTCTGGGTGACCACTGATGCCATCTCCGTGGAAACCCCGCAGGACACTCTCCGGGCAGCCCAGGGAAAAAGCGTCACCCTTCCGTGTACCTACAGCACTTCGGCCCCCGACCGAGATGGATTTATCCAGTGGGACAAGCTTCTCCGGAGTCACACGGTGAGGCTCCGTAAAAACCTGAGGTTTTGCACATGGGAAGGGGACTGAGAGAGAGAGAGAGAGAGGAGGGACGGGGGGGGGAGGGGATGGAGAGAACTGGGATGTGTTCTGCACACCCAGCTCCCCGTGATGAAGATGGTCATTACGTACAGCAAACGTGTGCTGATAAAAATAAAAATAAGTTCATCTAGAAAAAAATTAAAGCTGGGGACACCATGGGAATGATTATCACCTGACTAGGATGTCCTCGGAAGCAAGCACTGTCAAGCCTTTCAAGAAATGTTAGCTAGAATGAGCAGGAGTGGTGAATGCTAAACCCAGGGAGAGCTCGTTATATCATCTTTATTTTGACAAAGTCACCTGCCCCAAAATCTCTCCCTGTTGGTCGGCTTCAAATGACCTAAATTGTATCATGCAACTCAGTCTCTCTCTGACTAGCATAGTCCCTACTCTGGGGCTAAACTTTATTGTATGGATTTCTTTTCCTGTTTGGCTTCTTTTGGAGCATTTGGAAAAGTTTTGTTTAATTTTCTATTTCTGTTTTTAAATAGATCATAGCACTCCACAGTTTCAAAGTCAAAACGTCATAAAAAGTGCACTTTGAGAAGTCTCATTCTTTCCCTGGCCTTTTTTCCCCATCCATGTTGTTCCCACCCTTTAACCCTTCTATTCCGCACTGTCCTCGGCCTGCAGACAAGGCACACACACACAAGCACAGATATGTTTGTTATATACACGTACATATGCAACCATTTATACCCATCCCTCTCCTCTCTCTCTCTCTCTCTCTCTGTATTAGAGACTGAACCCAGGGCCTTCAAACTGAGCTACATCCTCAGACCTTCTTTTTTTACCTATTTTGGGGAGGGGGGAGGCTGTTGCTAAGTCACTAAGTTGCCCAGGCTGGGCTCAAACTTGTGATCCTCCTGTCTCAGCCCCAGAGTGCTGGGATTAGGGGCATGGGCCACCACATCCTCTGCCCCTTTCGGTAGTTCTGGGGATCAAATCCAGGACCTCATGCATCTTAAGCATGTGCTCTACTGATGAGCTACATACCTAGCTCATATTTCATTCTTAAAATATTTGTATAAAGCATTATATTTTATGAAGTACAGAAATAGTACATTCAATAGGTACTACTGATGGACAGTTTGCTTTGTTTCCTATATTTTGCTGCTAAATAATGCTGCAAGAAATAGCCATATATAGTTGGGCCAGGGATTTAGCTCAGTGTTCCATCACCTGCCTCACAAGTGCAAGGTCCCAAGTTCAAAATAAATAAATAAATAGGCATATATATATATATGTCTCTGGATATATACATATATAATAAACATGATAAATTATTAAAAGTGAACTTCTGTGTCAAAGGGTATGTGAACTTAAATTTTTGGTAAATAATGTCAAATTGTTCTCATTAGATATCTTATTAATTTTCATTTTCATCAACAACAGTAAGTATATCCATTTCTCCAACACAGAGTATTCTCATATCTGCCAATTTTATAAGTGAAACAAGTATCTCAATTGTGATCAAATTTACATTCACTGTAAGAATCAGAGCACCTATCCATGAGCTTGAAGGCCAGGTCTCCTTCTAACATGCTAGCATGCCGGGCAGCAGTAAGCATTGCGTCCCAGGCAGCTCAGACTGAAAGGACGTGGCTTTTTTCCTGAGAGGTAAGGAGGAGTGGCCTGGAACATCCTAATCCTCCAGTGATGGGACCCACAGGAAGTAGTCTTAGCCTGAGACAGGGAGGGAGCCTGAGGACTCACACCCATGTGTCCTGTCCTTCCCAGATTCCAGGGCCAAAACCCAGGCTGCTGCCTTTGGCCGGCAGAAACTGAGGGGCCGGGCCCCTTTTCCCACCATCATCAGATTCCGCTAGCAAACCGGAAGTGTGGCCTGGCTGATACTTCCTGAGGGCTGAGATAGACAATAAGGTTGTTTATTGCCTGATGGATTTCCAAAGGATCAGAAGCAACACCCTCAAGACCAAGCAAGGGTACAGAGCAAGGGGTTCCCTGAGTTACCTTAGAGAGGATCCCTGAGATCCTAGCAAGGGTTGTGAAGAGGGAGACCCAGGGGTGGAGACAGGGATGGCAGAGCAGCGAAGCCAGGACTCCAGAGGCCCTTCCCCACCCCTTCCTTGTCTCTCCTCCTCCTGTCTCAGCCATGGTTCCCTGGAGCCTTGCTCTGCACAGGTTTCCAGCACTGGGCTGTGCTCCTTCAGCCAAGCCCTGTGCCTGGGGCCCAGGGGTGCTGTCTGGAAATGAGAGCACCTCACTAATTTGCATGAAAGTCAGAACTGACTGTTTCCGTGTGGCAGCCTCCTCCCGGTTTTCCTCTTCTCTCTCTGAGCGCTTGCATTGTAGGGAGCACAGAGCTCCATGAAACACAGAGCTCCCAACCTTCAGCCCCAGTTGCACTCAGGTCACCCAGCTGTGCGGCCCCTCTTCCGGGGGCCCCACTGGCGCTTCAGGTCCCCACATGGTTTCTTCTTAAATCTCTCCTTCCTGTGCATTTCCTCTCTTGGATCCACCCAAGTATTAAGAGGTCTGCAGCTCCTAACTCTGTACATGAAACTCACCTCTAAATCTCTGGGGTCTACCCTTTCATACCGCTCAAACTGTCTGTCTGCACGGTTACCCACCGCTTTCTCTGGCCACATTGCACTTCATCTGAATGCTGCCCTGATTTCTTTCTTTCTTTCTTTTTTTTTTTTGGTACCAGGGATCAAACTCAGGACCTTGCGCTTGTAAGGCAGGCAGTGGCACCACTGAGCTAAATCCCCGGCCCTGAGAGCTAACTTCTTAAAACACATGACTCTTCAGTGCCTTCAAGATAAAATGCAAGCAGTCTGGTCCCACATACACAGCCCCTGAGTTTCCGCACCGTAGGATGTCCAGGATGCAGGCTCTGGAGCCAGAGAGGCCAGTTTGAATCTCAGCTCTGCCACTTCCTTCTCTGTGTGCACTTGGGAAAGACGCTTAGCCTCCTGGTGCCCTGCTTCTCCATGTGTAAAATGCATATGATCATAGGACCAAGTCCACGGGGGATTTAGAGGGCCAGAGGAGGTAAGACTTACCCACTGCTCAGGATAGCACCCTCGCAGGCCTCGCCTGCTTCCCCAGCCTGAGAGCACCTCTCAGTCCCGCTCTCTCACCCCCACTCCCCCCACGATACCGCCTGGCTTCATAAGTTGCTTCCATTCCTGTGTCGAATCTGCAGTTCTCCCTTTGCTGGAAATGTCCAAAGCCCAACACGTTAGCCAGCCATTTACAGCTGAGCTAATTCGAAGTTGTTTTTCAGGATTCTAGGCAAACATCAGCTCTTCTAGGAAACCTCCCTGACCTCCCAGTCTAGAAGTGATACCTGTTTTCTGGAATTGCACAGCTAATCACAAGCTGCGATGTCTGGCTGCCTATTCCCCTCGCCCAGGCAGGAGCTCATGAATGATCTGCCCTTGAATGGGAGGCCTCTAGATGCTCAGTAAACTGATGCTAGCACTTCCAGAAACAGCATGGCAGGAAAGCCCTAATCTAACTGTGTTGGATATATTATCTACTTTACTCCTCACTGCAATCCTAGGAGACAGGTGTTATTATCATCTCCATTTTGTAGAAGAGAAAAGGGACACCCAGAGCTGTCAAGGATTTTGTTCAAGGCCACTCCACTAGTAGTAGGTGACGGAATTGGGATTTTGAATTGAGGCAGTCTGATATGCAGGCCTACAGCCCTAGCCCTTTTCTACACTGTTGGATCAATGACGAGTGTATCAGCGAATAAACAAACTCTAAAAACCAGAGTGGAGAAAATAAAGAGCCACGGGTGGCTGCCTAGCATGATGCTGTGCTCAGAAAGTGCTGGCTGAGTGAAGGAGAACAGACCAGGCTGAAATGGATCGGGATGTGAGGGTCACAAAGTGAAGCAGTTGGGAGACGGTGGGCTTCCACAGTCACTGTGGTATGAAACGCCTACCTGCCCTCGGCCCCACTGTTCCAATCTGTTCACTTAAAAATAAGTTTTAAAAATATATAGAGAGAGCTAAATAGGTAGCGACAGGAGCCCAGTGGCCAAACGGCCCTGCCCTTTGGGTCTGCCTGAGGGGTTGATGCAGCTGTGCGTCTGGGACAGGCCTGTACCAGGGCCTCAGCCGAAGACCGGTGGCATCTCTTCTTTTTCCCAGGAAAAAGTGGTCACCTGGACGTTCAGGACCCAAGCCTACCTCTACGGCAGCCTCTACGAGAACCGTGTGAAGATGGCCAGCAACGCCGAGCAGTCGGATGCCTCCCTCACCATCGAGCAGCTGTCCATGGACGACAACGGCACCTATGAGTGCTCGGTCTCGCTGATGTCGGACCTGGGGGGCAACTCCAAGTCCCGAGTCTGCCTCCTGGTCCTCGGTGAGGGTCGCCCTCTCTCCTGACCTGTGGCCCAGGGTACCCCACCCGCATCACAGGGACCCCCGAGTGTAAGGGGAGTAAGTTAACTTGAAGGGTGAAATATACAAGTTTAATCTGAGATTGTGGAACCAATTCTTTTTTCTTTTTTCTTTTTCAGTACTGGGTACCCAGGGCTTTCTCACTGAGTTTCACCCCCAACTCGTTTTTTATTTTTTAATCTTAAGACAGAGTTTGTCCAGTCCCTAAATTGCCCAGGCTGTACTTGCACTTGTGATCCTCCTGCCTCAGCCTCCGGGAGTGTTGGGATCACAGGCGTTCGCCACCACGCTCAGTATGATGATTTGCTTTAAGAAAAAGAGATCAGTTTGTCCTGCAGGTTAAAAAATCCAGTGAACTTCATTTTAAAGAATTTTCTTTCCAAACTGCTTTGCAGCCCAGCTGTTTTTAGGCAGAGGGCTTTAATTACATGGGGTACCCTAGGCCCTCAGCCTTCGCCCGGGGCCGGGGCGCAGGCCTGTCACCTGGCTGCCCCCGGGGTCTGGAAACACTACCCCCGCGGGCCGGCTGGATGGCGGTCTCTGCGGCCTCTGCCGCCCTCTGCCGTCCTCAGCAGGAGTCGCAGGCATTGGAGAGGGCTCGGAGCCCCGCAAGTGTTCACAGTAAATGCTCAGGTTAGGAACTGCCGCGACGAGCTCTCAGGGCACCGCGCGTGTGGCTATGTGAGCTGGATCGGTCTGGCCTGAGGCCCCAGCCTGTCACAGAGCGAGGGCGGGACTGTCAGGGCTGAACAGCGGGACACAGCCTCCGAATGCTGGTCCCTTGTTTGCCGTGATCTCGGCTCTGCCTCTGGAGGAAATTCACGTTTGCCTTTCATGCTTTCGCGGAGCAAACGGCGGGACAAGCAGAGCGGGCCTCAGGTGGCGTCAGAGGGCTTAATGCTTCTGGAGACGCCATTTGTCCTGTCACTTTCCTTCTGCCTTTGTATCGTATTTATTGCAAACCTGGCATAGAAGTGATCTCCTACCAGTCCTGCTCACTGAGTGTGACTTTGGGGGACATGTAACTTCTCCGGACATTGGTGTTCGGGGCATCTCTGACTGTGGGTCCAGGACGAAGAGAAGGGCAGGTGAGGAGCTCGGGAGAGGAATCCTGTGCACCAGGCCTGTTCCAGAGTCTCCCGGAAGCTGCCCACCCTTTATCTCTGAGGCCAGCCAGGTGGGCAGGAGGCTGCTGGTTGGAAGTGCCCGGCAACCCTGGCACTCTTAGGTTCAGAGACCCTTATAGGAGGGGCATTAAGGGAGTGTCTCTAATTTGTGCCACGATTGCCAGGCACTGGCCTGGTGGTTACTGTGGGAACTGACGTCCAGTTCACCTGGGAACATCCCACCTGTTTCCTCCTGCCTCAGCCTCCCGGCGTGCTGGCATCACTGGTGTGTACCACCACCCCTGGCTCTGCTTCCAAGAGCAAGCACTTCGGCTGCTGGGCTGGAGGGGAGAGACAGGTCCTGCAGCACTTCCTCAGCAACTTCCTGTGAGGCTAGACTGGGACTTGCTCTCCAGGCTCAGTGGCCGGGCGCCTGTGGACAGAGCTGGTAGCTTTGCTTATTGGGGAAGCACGGCCTGCAAGGGGACAGGCCTGCCACCTGAGGTTTGGGGACAGCCTCCCCACCCTCCAGGGATGCTACACGCATCTGGCCTCTGAACCCGCGGTTCCCTCTGCCTAGAGCCCCTCTCTGCTCCTTGGAGTCCCTCCCCTCTCCACCTTTGCCTCTGCCTCCTTTGCCCTCACCCACTCTTGGTCACAGGCAGTGACAGCAGAGCGGGTCCATCCTGGTGTCCAGTGCTGTTAGGCCTGCAGAGCAGCCCGCTGCATGCAGAAGTGCACGAGCGAGATGCAGGGGAAGCCGCAGGCTTCTGGGGGCTCTGGGGAGGGGCAGTGGGTGAGGACTGGGAGCTGGCTCTGTAGCCTCCCCTGTAGGGCTGCCCTCTCCCTTCTCCGTCCTCTCCCATCCCTCTGCCCCATTCTACGCCTGGTATCTAACTCCGCTGCAGCCCACAGTCCCTCCTCTACTCCAGCCACTCTTCGATTGTATTTTCTCAGCAAATTTGAGAAGAGGCAGCGCTGCCCCGCTGGCAATGCGGCTGCACAGTCACAGGCTCAGGGCTGCAGAGGTCATTTACGCGGGACAGGGCCAAGTCTGGCCAAGCCTGGCCAAGCCCAGCCAGGCAGCCGGGTGTCCCATTTCTAAAGCATTACTGAAAAGGAAAAGCAGCAACACAGAGCAGAGGCCCCTGGTTCTCTCCAGAAAGGGTCATTCCTCTTACAGATAGGAGCCCTGGGATCCCAGAGAGGAGGAGGGTTTCCCTGCAGCTTCAGAGGGAGCTCCTGCGGGTGGTGGTCCAAGCACTGGGTCTGCAGTTCAGGTCCCGGCTCTGCCAGAACCCTTGAGCCAGTGTCCCCTCTGGGTCTCGGTATCCCCATCTTTATGAAGGCCACCGTAGGGTATCTCTAGGATCCCATGCCGCTAGAGAACACATGGGCTACAGCTGCGACACCATGGTCAGCCCCTGGCGGCTCCCTCCCCGATGAGTGACAGGCCCCCGGGGATGTATGGGGGTGCAGGTGGCTGTCACCATCAATTCAGTCCATCTCCTTGGCCTCTCCCTTCACAGTGCCACCCTCCCCTCCAGACTGCAGCATCGAGGGAGAGACGGTGATCGGGAACAACATCCAGCTGACCTGCCTGTCGGCGGAGGGCTCCCCGGAGCCCCAGTATAGCTGGAAGAGCTACGACTCCGAGCGCCAGGAGCGGGCTCTGCGTTCTCCAGGTGAGCGGCAGCAGGGAAGGCGGGGCCGAGCAGGGAGCGCTGATTGGCTGAGGCTGCGGGCTGGGGGGCGCTGCCAATCACATCCTTTCTCCTCATCCAGCACTTTGGATACTTGGGCCAGGCCTCTAAGCTTGGCAGTAGTTGGAGAAATAAGAATGATTCGTGTGAACACGATAGAGAACATGAGACTTGCCACCTTATTACTCAGAGCTCAGTTCTCCTGGCTGAGCGTGTTCTGATGGGATTTTAATGTTGATTATGATTATGTCCTAGAGTGCACATTTGATACCCCAAGTCTGACTCCGGGGTCCTCCTAGTCCCACTCCCTTTTCAGGTGGCTCCACCGCGCCCTGAGTCCCTTTCTCAGGGAAGGACACCGTGATTTCAGCCCCGATTGCCAGGAGACCAGCTGGGAATTGGGCACCGTGGAATTTGACCTTTTGGTCAGGAACAACAGGCCCATCAGATTTAATTTCCAGGGGGTATTTCACTTCGGTGTGGGTTGAAAGGAAGCAGGAGACAAAAAATTAAGCAGGGTGGGGTGGGGTGGGGTGGGGAGGGGCGCACAAATGTTCCCAAAATATGAGTCGCAAGGGGTGGGAGAGAATCTTGTGTCTTGGGTGAGTCCAGTGGAATAAATGAGGTGTGAGATTCTGTCCAGCTAGGGTGAATTTTATCAGTCTACCTTTCACTCGTTTGGGGACAAAACAAAAAATTGAAAGGAAATCTCTTCACTGTGGAAGGCTGAGGCAGGAGGATCACAAGTTCAAGTCTACCCTGGGCAACTTAGTGACTTAGCAAGACCCTATCTCAATATTTAAAAATAAAAATAGAAAAGTGCTGGCATGTAACTCAGTGCAAAGACCCCGAGTTTTATCACCAGTACCACAAAATAAAAAGATAAAAAATTAAAGAATTAGTAGAATTCACTCAACCTAACGTAAAACAGAAGATGTAACGTGGACTTCAGCAAGCTTCCAGTCTTGTTACCCCTTCCTGCACAGCCAATTCTGACAAGTATGCCAGGAAGTTTTTCTAGCCCTGCCTGCAGCTCTCCCAGGCCTCTGCCTGAGTGACCAGAGCCAGTGCCAGTTCGGCAGGTCTGCTGTAGACCCTGGTGGCCTCCAGCCTTCCTTCCAGCACAACATGTGCAAGGAACCAGTGCAGAGGAAACAGGGTGGTGATGGCTGCAGTCCTTTGTGCCTGGCGGTGCAGGGCTGGGGTGCAGGTGGGGCTCACAGACACCTTCTCCCAGAGGCAGGCCTGAGCGAAGGATGGTACGGTGCCAAGGAGCATGCCACAGGCTCCAGTCTGGCTCTGCCACTGGCCAGCTGTCTGAAGGTGACAGGCCACTCAGCCTCTGGGTGCCTTAGTTTCACATCTGTAAAATGAGTCCAACACTAGTGTTCACAGGGTTGTTGTGAAGGTTAGATGGAAGTACACATAAACACTGACAGAAAGCACTCAATGCTGGGTGCTCTCGGCTATCATGGGAGCGGGGTCCTTCAGATTCATGGCATGGGCCCGAAGAAGGTGTGGAAATTGTGATGTAAGAGTGGCTGAGGGGCAGGGACGAGAGCTTGGGGCACCTGGTCCCAGCTCTGCCACCTTGGCCAGAAAGGTGTCTCCGGGTGTCAGAAGACAAAATGTGGCTCTCTGTGACCCAGGAGAGAGGCTTGGTCTGAAGGTGACATGCTTCTCTGCTCCCCGGCTCTGCCCTCCTCATGGGTCCTGAGCAGTGCTCAGTCAGGACTGAGACCTGGGGGGAGAAGAGGTGGCTGTGGTGACAGCCGCACAGCCATGGATCTGGACAGCATGGGGATGTCTGGGGCTTCTGAAAGCCTTTTGTCCCTGGCCTGCCTCACAGAGGCCCGGAACTCTGTCCACGGCTTCTTCCTCCATGTGTCAGGCCAGGCTCCTTCCAGACATCTCTGGAGACACTGCAGTCCCCCGAGGTGACAGGAGGAGCCCTCTACATCTGAGGGCAGAATTCCCATGTCAGACTTAGCCATGGACAGAGACAGGACTGGGGAATCTGGAACTGGAGGGCAAAGATTCGAGTCCTCATCCTGTGTCCCCGCACACACTGTGCTGGAAGGAAGGCCAGAGGCCTCCAGGGTCTACAGCAGACCTGCCCAGCTGCCACTCCAGGCTCTGGTCACTCAGGCAGAGGCCCGGGAGGGCTGCAGGGAGGGGAGAATTTGCAGCTGCAGGCCACAGCCTCACTGACCCTTAGTAATGTCATCTGGAAAAACAACAAAAACTGAGACCCTAAAGGCTGTGAAGAGGATGAGACCCCTGCAGGGTGGCTCTGAACGTATTTTGTAAACTGAGTCCCAGCCAGCCAAGTTTCCATGCCCCAGTGGAATAAGAATTTGGGTATCAAGGAAGGAGGAGGGGTCATTCTGGGGCTGGAGCACCGCAGGGAAGAGGGAGTGAGGATGGGGCAGGGTGCAGGAGGGTCCTGGGGGCCCTGGGGGAGGGGCAGTGGGGCTTAGGGACAGCCACGGCATGCGGCATGTGGCAGGCCTTGTGGACTCCACGTTGGCATTGTGCAGTGACCAGGACTTTGTGGAGCGGAATTTCTGCCCAGCTGGAGTAGCAGAAAGGCAGGAGGCAGACAGCTGTCCTGTGGGAACCTGTGTGACCACAGGGTGTCACTCCTGCAGCAGAAAAATTAGTTTTCCCTAGATTCTCTAGATTCAGAGACTGCAGGTCACTTTCGAAAAGGAAAGGGGGATTTGAGCCTCAGCTCAGAGTCGAAGCTGGTCTGGTGGGGTGGAATGTGCACTGGTTCCTCCCAGAGCAGCTTGTAGGGTCCACAATTTGCTGCCCTGCGTTCGGAAGCCCCACAGCCCCACCCTCAGCAGGGCCCAGAGCCGTTGGCCCTGTGCAAGGAACGCCTGATGCTCAGGCTACGACTCCAGGTCTACAATCCTGGGAATCTGGGGCCAGCTCCAGCCCTCCTAAACCTGTTCGGGCCACAGAGTGTTTCCCAAAGTGCGTTCCTTCAAAATGCTGTTTAAGATAAAAGAATCCCAGCCAGGCACAGTGGTGTACTTCTGGAGCTGAGGCAGGGTGATCCGAAGTGTGAGCTCAGCCTGGGCAGATTGACAAAATTAATTAAAAAATAAGGAAGGGCTAGGTAGGGCTGTAGCTCAGTGGGAAGGCCTTGGGTTCAATTCCCAGGACTGGATCACAAAATGTAACTCGTTTAGAAAATGGGATAAAGATACCATCAAAACCAACCACACTTACAGAGATTCCCAGTCCTCATTAGCATGTTAGAACATCTGAGAGCTAGGACCTTAAAATGCATTTAACCCTCGATCGGTGATTCCTAAACCTGATTTGTTCGAAAACCCCTTTTCCAGTACCATGCATTTATACTGCCCGTGAGCGATATTCCCGGGTACACACGGCACTGCAGAATTCGAGGCTAGAAGGGGTAGCACTTTACAGCGAATCCAGAAAGTAGTGCCCTGGATTTCCAAGAAAGAATTGGAAGAAGTACTGTATTTGTGAAAAGATGGAAAGAAAATAGAGCCAAATCAAAGTTCTATTGTTTCTTGGTGTTGAGATTCTGGGTGATTTTTATCTTATTCTCTCTTTTTTGTCAGGGCTTTCTCCAGCTCTTTGGGTGAGCTGAAATCCCTTTGCTCTAAGCTCAGACAGCTCCTCCATTTAAAATCCTACCTCCCCCTGGGGTCACCATTGTTTTATGTGTCTTCCTTTGCAGAGTGGGAAAGCCAAGGACTTATTTATATCTGTAATCAGCTCGTAGATTATCGTAGATTTTCTGGATTGAACTGAACTAGAATTAATAGTTGTACATCACATTCCAGTTCTTAGAATGAGTATGAATGAATTTTATGATGTAAAATTTTAAAAGAAAAGTTGCCAACTGTTTCAGACCTAAAAGTAGGAGTTTTGTTCCAGCTCTGTCATTAATTTTGTGGCCTTGCGCAAGTCCCTTTTCTGAGCCTCCATGGGATTGCAAGATTGCTGGAAGGCCGAGAGGGTATCCTTGGGGATGTGTACTCAGTAGCACATCCCAACAAGGAAAACTCACCAGAGACATCTTCCCAGAGACAGAAGGAGAGCAGTGGGGAGGCCACCTTGTCCCTAGGCCCCAGGGCAAGTGGAAAGACACACAGCTGGTGCAATGGGCAGGCCAGACCTGTAACCCTGTCTCCACCACAAAAGCTCAGATGTGTTGCTGAAGATTATGGGCAGCCTCTGAAATGTCTGAAGGAGGCAGATATCTGGAAGGGGTCCGGACGGAGTGACCTGGTGGCAGCAGGGATTACAGGAGGCCGGCCCTGCAGGGAAGGAGGGACAAAGGTCTCTACCTCTCCTCTAAAGCAGCAGTCTGGTGATGGCAAGGCATCTTTGAGGACAGGCCATATCCGTCTGTCTGTGTGAGTTTGTCTTTTCGAGGTGAAGACATTCATAGGGTCACGGACTGGGGGAAAGGTCTCTCATGCGGCCACCAGGGCCATTCTGGGGGGCTCTGGATCAGCCGAGTCTCCCCTTTCCAGAGAAAGAGGCTGCTGCTACGTAGCTGGAATCAAATGACTCGCTTGCGTGGTGGTGGATGAAGAGGACCAGCCTGACAGCTGCCTGCTTCCTACCCTGACACACACACACACACACACACACACACTCGTACCACAAACCAGATTAGACCTCACACTCATATGACACACACACTCACACATACCTCATACATCACACACACCAGACACCATACATACACTTACATACACTACACACAGTCATGCCACACACTCACACACACACCATATATTATGCAAACTTATGTCACACTCACCAGCCACCCACATTCATATCCACCACACACTCATACCTTACACCAGACATACCACACAGTCTCACACATTCACCATACATTCCACACACACACTACGCACACGACAGCACACACACACACTCATACCACACGTATCACACACATGCTTACCTGCACCTGCCATAAACATCCCACACTCACATCACACACACCAGACAGCACACGCACACTATACACACACTTGTGTACCATCTACCACGCATATATATTCATACATATTCACATGACACACCCATTGTACACACGCCACACTGCACACACCTCCCCTCAGGACACATGCACACCACTTATAACAGAAATCTGGAGATCAGAGTGCTTGATTCCCCAATCTAAGGACTTCAGGTTCTGCAGATTTTAAAAGCGGTAATAATATCTTCTAGTTATAAAGGATTTCCATGTAATACATAATATATCTGATTCTTCCTGAGCTCTTACTATCCATCAGGAATTCTATGTGGGCTTGTATTTATCATGAGGGCCCCATTTTATGCCCACAGGTACTGTGGAAGGCAGGTCCTCTTGTTTCCAGTCATAGGTGGGGAAACAGACACTCTATGAAGCTAAGTTGCTTGCCAGCAGCTCCGAATTAATCAGTGGCCGAGCTGGGCTTCCAGCCCAGGGTGTCTGGCTGAGTTCTAATCACTTCACTTTTGCATGACCTGCCCAGAGCTGTCGCTGTTGGCAGCCCTGGAGGGACAGATTGTCCCCATGTGGCAGCTGCCCGGGGCACTGCTCCCTGGCTTGTGCACTCCCTGGGACCCCTGACCCTCGATCTACCCGCAGCCTCAGGCCAGAGCCTCCTTCTGAAGAACATCTCCACAGAGATGTCAGGCTACTACACCTGCTTCTCCAGCAACGAGATGGGGACCAGCACCTGCGACATCACCCTGACCGTCAGACCTCGTGAGAGCAGAGGGAGGGCGGGCAGGCCCAGAGCCAACGGCTGGGTCCAGAGCCGCTGAGGCCTGTGGAGGGGGGCGGGAGCCTCGTTAGGACCCCGAGTGCCCCCCGAGTGCCCCCCGCCCCGCCCGCTTTGAGGCCGGCCCAGTTCCCCTGGGTTCGGGCAGAGCCTGAGACCGACTTCTGCAGACTCCCGTCCTGCTGCCCCGAGGCCACTCGGTAAGCACAGGGGAAGTGCCCGGTGCCAGCAGCCGGTCTGCGGCCCCTCCTTCTGAGCCGGACGCCGCAGCTAGCTTGGGTTAGGGTTAGGCTAGGCGTTCCAGGGCCAACGACTGAGGTGGTGTGGAGTCCTGGAGCCTGGGCTGTAGCGATGCAAAGCCGGGGTGTCCGTCCTTGCCTGTGCCTTGCCCCAGGACCGTCCTGGCCTGTCGGGTTACTTTCCCACCAGACCTGACGTGTGACAGAAACGGCTGCTGCTGTCTCCCTCCGTGCTGGGCGTGGGCAGGGCTCAGCGGAGGCTCGGAGATGCAGCCCCTCTGTTCCCGCAGCCTCCATGAACGTGGCTCTGTACGCGGGCATCGCGGCCGGGGTGGTGGCGGCCCTCATCATCGTCGGCGTCGCTGTCTACTTCTGCTGCTTCCGGGAGAAGGACGCGGCGGCTGAGGACAAGAAGGGCGCCAAGCCGTGAGTGTCGGGGCAGGGCCCTGGGTGGACCGGAAACGGGCAGCAGCTCCTCCCAGAAAAGCCGCTTTTTACACCGAGTCCGAGGGATCCTTGGGGCGCTCCCAGCACCCTCCACTCGTGGGTGGAACACGTCGGTGGCCTCTTCTGTCCCCCCGCAGCACGCGGGTGGGGAAGGCGGGTGGGATCCGGATCCTCGTATCTTCATCTTCGCGCATTCCAGGGCAAACCTTTCTCCTCTGCTTCCCTTGCCCCGAAGGGACCGGGCGGTTTACCATAAGCCGCAGGAGCAAATGCAAGAGTTTTCCAGAGAGAGGGAGGAGGACCACGAAGACAACGACGAAGACCAGAGGCGCCCCGGGCACCAGTCCCCCAGCCACTCCGACCAGTGACCTGACCGGGCCTGCTGCAGGCAGGGGAGGGAGGGCTCCCCCCACGCTCCCTCCCCAGCTGCTGCCCACAGCCGGCAGGAGGCAGCCCAGTGGCTTCAGAGCTCCGGCCTGGCCTGTGCGGACCAGACCGGCCCCAAGCTCCGCACCACGTGGTCAGATCTGACCCGGGGGCAGCAGCTTCCTCTCCTCATGGGCTGGCCCAGCTCCCGGAAGCACAGCCTGAGCACAGGCGCCCCCGCCCGGAGCTCTCCATGGAGTCCAGGCACCGCGGGTGGAGCCTCCCTGTGGCTGGGTGCCCACCGCTGGGGCTGCAGAAGGAAGGAAGGGAGTGTGGGGGGGATTTCCTGTCACTCGCTCCCCTTCCTTGCCGGGGCCACACACATCCCAACCCCTGCTGGCCAGGGCCGTCTCCTGCGCCCAGCGCTTTCCCTCTCTGCCTCGAAAAATCCTGCCGCCCCTGCAGGCCCATCTCGGATCACAGGGCTTGCTGAACCCCGATTGCCCTCACACGTGGGGACAGTCCCCTTGCTTTGTCCGCATGGGATCCTGGGCTCACACGAGGTTCTAGTTGTGCTAGAATCCGAGCTCCTTGGAGCAGGGCCAGGGCCTGCCTCCCCTGCAGCCCTGGGTTGCTTTGGGGAGCCTGCTCTGACAGGTTGGGCCTTCCTGATATGATTGCGGACTCGGGATGATCCCCACCCAGGCCCCCGACTTAGACAGTTGATTGAACTGATTGAAAATGAACACACACAGCTAGGCACGGGGTGGGGGTGGGGGCCATGCCTGCAATTTCAGTACCGAGGGAGGCTGAGGCAGGAGGATTAAAAAACTAAGTTGTACCAGGACAATTTACTGAGGCCCTGTCTCAGAAAAACAAAATAAAAAAGGGCTGAGGGTGTAACTCAGTGTGAAGTCCAGGCTGCCTGCGTGACCCTCCCACTATTGCTCCCCTTCTCACTGTCCTCTGCCCTCCCGAAGCCTGCAGAGGTGGTCAGCAGTTCTGCTCTCCCACATCAGGCAGTGTCTCTGCCCCAGTGTCATCCAAATGCAGCTTACTATTAAGCAAATGTCAACTTTTCTGGATGATCAGAAAAGCAATTCCATAAATCTGTGGTCCACTTGTGATTTTTTAAATGTTTATTTTTATATGTTTTGTTAAATCCTTTGCTTCATTTGAAATGCTTTTGGGAATAAGACAATCGACAGTGGAAACCCTGCTTTGGCAGTGTGGGTCTTGCTGACACCATGGCAGAGCTTGTGTCACGTGGGCCTGAGTCTGCTCCCTGCTGGCCTCTTCTTCCTTTGGGAGCTGCTGCCGAGTGACCAGGACAGAATCTTGGGGTCCCACTGCTTGTGGCCACAGTGAGGCTAGGGGGTGTCTGCAGGGCTTCTGGGGACACAAGGAGCCCTCCCTGCTGGTGGAGTACATCTGGGAGCCAGCAGTAGCAGGGGGACCCTCCAGGAAGGGGGCAGGAGGTGCTTGCCTTCAACGCCCTGGGTGCCCTCCTGAAAGGACACACAATGCTCCCATTCTGCCACAGAGAATGTGGCAGTCCTGTCCCAAAGTGACTCTGCTCCACTTTACAGCAGTATGTATAACAGGGTCTCACTGAGCCAAGTTGCCAGGCTGGGCTTGAATTTGCAATCCTCCTGCCTCAGCTTCCCAGAGTGCTGGGATTCTGGGTGTGCACCATCATGTCTGGCTCTAACCAGGCATCTTAACACCTGAGGAGATCGTGGAAGATTCTCTGGCCTTGGCCCACCCTTGGATATTCTGGATGGAGGCCCTGGGCATCTGCAGAAGTGAGCCTATTTGGAAGTGTGTTGCTGTGGGAGGGGCCTTTGGGGACACCATACTAGATTGCCTCTCCTCAGGTGGGTTTCCAGAGAGCAGCCCTGGTTTCCGTGTGTGATGGTCCATTCTCCCTGAACCTCTCCCATTCAACCCCTCCTGTTTCCCTCTTTCCACAGTCCTACAGTCTTCAGATTTGCTAAGACTTTCCTCTAGTTCCAGTTAAGTCAGCTGTAGAAACTGCTCTTGCTGTCAAGGGGATGCTGAATACTCCTACTCGAATCTAGGATACACTGATTTTAAAGTTTATCTCTGAGAGGGAAATTACATTCCTCTGCTTTCCATGCTGCCGAGTGGACTTTGTCTTAAGCTGAACTGCTCTTAAAAAATGGACTAAAAATGTGTCATGACTGAAGTGTAATATTCACACGCAAACAGCTTTTGAGACGCTCGGGTTCCCACTCTTCTGTCTGGTCCCGTCAGGGTCTCCTGTCCTCAAGGGCTCAAGACCGGGACTCTAGCCAGCAGAGGAGGCACACACAGCAAAGGCACAGTGGTTCTTCAACCCTTGACCAGAGGTGAGCAACCGCCTCTGCTCAGGCCACACGCAGCGTGCAGGGGAGGGAGGGAAGTGCACTTTCGAGCACTTGTTCTTTGTGCTCAGGGACTGGGTTGTTGATTTCTGCCTCAGTTGCTCGTTCCACCCTCCACCGGCCTCCCAGTCCCAAAAGAGGAGCCATAGCGTCATGGGAGTCGACCCTGCGAGGAGGTGGTAGAGTGAGGGTGGGATTGGCTCAGTGTGCCTGGGGGACCTTTGCTCTTTCCACAGAACCACACCTTGTGACCCCACGCACGTGTGCAGCATGGGGAAGGGGGAAAGGGTGGGGTGGAGACAGAAGCTTTTGTTTAAATTTAACATTTGTACATAGCATTTGTGACTGATTTTAATATAGGGGTTTCAGGTACAGCCATATCCATTTCTGAAAAACTGCATTCTGCAAAATGACATCCGAGAAATAACCAGATTTTCAGGAAAACTGGGGTTAGAGGCAGACCACATAAAACCAATGGAATTTTAAAAGCCAGTTTGACTTTGTCACCAGGTCCTCTTTAAACACTGACCATCCCGGTGAAAGTGTAAGCATTTAATCTGTGCCAGCTGCACCAAGCATCGCTCAGTCAGCCCTAACAGGGCACTTGTTCCACCGAGATCCACTCACCAAAGCCAGAGCGGGATCCAGGCAGCTTGTTGGGCCTTACTGGTTTGCTATGTGCTTCTCTTCAGGCTTGAGTTTTCTTGTTACTTTGTGGATATACCCTGCATTTCCGGGTGGTGGGAAAGGCCCAGGATATGTTCCAGGGTGGAACTGTACCATTAGGCCATCTTTTAAAAGAATGATCCAGAGTGTGGTCTTTTAAAAACTGATAATTGTGGGGGTTTTTTTCTTTGATAACACAAGGGAAGTGTCTTTTTATCAGTCGGCTTAAGCCAAGTTGTTCTGTGGTAGCCACATACAATCTCAGTGGCTTCCGGTACCAGAAAGTTATGTCTTGCTCACCACCCCGCGTTGGCTCACTGCTGCGCCACAGGTTCCTCATCTGCAACTCAGGCTAAAGACCACACTGACTCCTGGGTGGCAGGGGGAAGAGAAAGGCTGGGAGATCTGAGGTGACTCTTTAAGCTCCTGCGGAGTGGGAGCTCCCTCATTTCTGCTCCTATCACCACCCAGATGCAGTCACGAGTGTCGGGATGGTGTTGCCCTCCTCCATACTCAAGGCAAGGGCCACACGGGACAGCCAGAGTCTCCTACACCTTCACAGAGTCCCCGTCTTCCTCTGTTCTCACAGCGTCCCTGTACAGCTTAAAGCCAAGTGAACTGATTCTTGAAGGAAGGCTGTTGTGCAGAACAATCAGCTTTGCTCTTAAAGCCACCATATATTGCTTAGCCTTGGTCTTTCATTGTGGGAAAGCATGTTCCAGAAACACTGCTGGGTCGGGAAAGCCTTTACTTCCTCCCGGCCTGTAGGAGCAAGGGGAGAGGAGGAGGCAAGCCTGGCAGAGCCCGGTGAGAGGCGAGGCGAGGTTTCCAGTAGGAAACAGAGTCATGGGGAGATGTCACTGCCAAGACAGCAGCACAAAAGTGGGGAGTGGGCAGGGAAGGAAACACCATGGCCATGCTCTCCACCCATGGCAGAAGCCAAGGGGTATCCGGGGGACATTGAGCCAGGCCTGGCCCTCTGTGGGATCAACTTGGGGTGCAGAGTGGAGAAGAAAAGAAAGAATAGAGGTGGCGGGAAGGGCAGGGGTGCAGGTGGAGAATCACCAACCCATGCCCTGCCCCTATAACTGAGTGCCAGTACTGTAGTTGTCAGGACCTTTCCTCTCCACCCTTGCCCACCCCTGGGAAGGGAGATGGGGGTGCGCTGGTGTAAAGAGTTCTCAAAGAGTTAAAGCTCACTTACTAAAAACTACACTTGAAGCAGTGTAAGTTCCAAAAAAGGAATTTCAGAAACATTCATATCCTATTTTGAGAGCCTGAAGAACAAGCGTCATTCTGTCTTTCTGGTTCCAGGAGAGGGGTGTCCATTCCTCAGAGGGCCGGGCCTCCAAGTGAACCCCAGTGTGTGGCAGAGGCTGCCCTTGGGGACACTGCACACGCCACACATGGGCAGAAAGGGTGGCTGGTCCACAGGGTCCCTCCACTATGTTCTCCCCCATTATGTTATTTTTCTTGAAACAATCTCAGATTTACAAAAATGTATGTATACAATACAAAGACTATTCTAACCTGAACCATTTGAGAATAAGCTGCTTCCATAATGCTCCCCATAGGGCTGGGGATTTAGCTCAGTGGTTTCACCACCTGCTGTGCAAGCGCAAGGACCCAAGTTCGATCCCCAGTACCAAACCAAACAAAACAAAGAACATAATGCTCCCCTGCTCTCCAAATACTTTAGCATCTCTCATTTCCTACTAATACTATATCTTCTTTTTGCATAAAACATTTTAGTTATTAACAAAGTATCTCACATTTGGTATAATTTTGAATAATTTCTTCCTATTTCACAGTATCTATTATATATTTTGGTCCTTATTTACACTTTTTTTTTTGGTACCAGGGATCGAACTCAGGACCTTGCGCTTTTGAGGCAGGCATGGTGCTGCTGAGCTAAATCCCAGCCCCTTATTTACACTTTCAGTTTCTCACATCAGAAAGACAATGCAATATTTGAGTTGATTAGATTAGCTATTGATAGATTAGCTATTAAAAATATATTCTTTTAAGATTATGATACATAGTGTATTTACCATTATTCTCTAACTATTTTTGTCATGAAAAATTATTTTTTCATAGAGCTATTTTTATATTTTATTAATATCTATTTATACTACATTAAAATAAAAATTTAAAAAAATACTTTAGTGTGTATTTTCTCCAAGGACTCTCCTATACAACCAAGAAATCACACTGGTGTCTTATTACCATCTTATCCTCAGAATCCATTCCATATCTGCCAGTTTCTCAGTAATGTCCATGAAAACAAAAAAATTCAGTTTAGAATTACTCAGTGCATATTGTTATCCTTAGTTTGATTTTCATGACTGTGACACTTTTTTGTTTTGTTTTATTTTGTTTGTTTTTTGAGGCAGGGTCTCCCTTTGTAGTTCAGGCTGGCCCTGAACTCACTATGTAGCTGAGGCAGGCCTCAAACTTGCGGCAATCCTCCTGCCTCAGCCTCCTGAGTGCTGGGATTACAGGTGTATGCCACTGTGCCCAGCTATGACTGTGACACTTTTAATGACTACAAGCCAGTTTTTTGTAAAATATTTCTCTGTCTGAATTGTCTGATTCTTCCTTCTGATTAAACTTTTGCATCTTTGACAAGAAAATCATAGAAGTGAAGGTGTATTCTTTTTACTGGATCCTATCAGGTGGCATGGGACTTACAGGACTTCAGTTTTCTGTTGCTGATATTAACTTTATCACTGGGTGAAGGTAGTGCCTGCAAGGTTTCCCCACTCCAAAGTTACCTGTTTCTATTGCAAAGCGTGAGCACTGGAATGGACTGGGATGGCCCAAAATAATATGTAAACATTTCAAGCCTCATCAAACTTTTAATTTATTCATGAGTTTATAAAATCTTGATGGATTCTTGCATTTTGGTTTTATTCACTATAACCCATTACTATCATTATTTTGATGTGCAAATTGCCCTATACTTGGCAATGGGATCCCCTTTCTAGCTGCTTTCTTTGACTTTTTTTTCCATTAAGTTTATTGGTACATTTTAGGTACAAAATACAGTTACATTCATCATTAGGCTCTTGTACCATTACATG